TGATTTCTAATACAAGATCATTTATATAAATGGCAAACAAGGTGTGAGAGAGTACATCCCCCTGTTTGACACCAGATGGAGTTGGGAACCAGCCCGTTCTATACTGATTAACCTGCACACAAGCCACTGGGGTCTGATAAAAGGCTTTTAGTGCCTTGTAAAATTTACCATCTATTCCAGTATTTAATAATTTAAAGCTAAGAAGACCATGGTGAATACAATCAAAAGCTTTAAAAAAATAAATAAAACAACAAAAAACAGATCCCCCTTCTTGTATTCTGGCATGAACTATAGTAAATAAAGAATATATGTGGTCAATACATGCTCTTTTCTTATGGAAGCCATTTTGTTCATCGGCTAATAAACCAAACATTTCCAAAAATAGCATCAGTCACTCATTTAAAATACTGGAATAGATTTTATAAACACAGCTTAAAAGGCTTACCCCACTAAAGTTCATGGGGATACTGGGATCATTGTTTTTAGACTTAGGGATTGATTTTATAATAGATTTCTGCCAGACCGAGGGAAGAAAACCATAGTCAAAACAAATGGAGAAAAGATTAAGTAAAATGTAAAATAAACAAGGTAATCTCAAAATTTCATTCGATAAGTTATCAACACCCGTGGCTTTCCTCACTTTGAGTCTACTAATCGCACTCTTGACTTCCTCTTCTGTAATGCTCGCATTTAAATGTTGATTTTCAATATAGGTACTCCTGTTGCATATGAGTTTCCATCATATTTTTCTGAATAATTTTCTCTGCAAGAAAACAATTATCCCACTCTACTGGGCAATCACCTCCCGAAAATAAGGAACCAATATGAGTTTCCCATTTTTTCAAAACAAAGTCAATAACAAAAACTGAGGATCCATCTTCCAACAGAACTTCCATTGGATTTTTTTTTAATTTTTGGGGGGCCCAGATTATTCATTAAGCTCCAAAACACCTGAGGGTTACTTGTTTGCATATGCTCTATTTTTAATGCTTGACCCCTCTCATAATTTCTTTTGCAGGCCCGCAATTTTTTATCAAAGGTTTGTTGTCTAATTTTAAATTAGTTTTTTTAACTGCTGTTTTTCCCTCATATTCAAACTATCACTTCTTAGAAAACTTTTTTCCACCACCCTCATCTCCTTCCACAGTATTTTCAATTGTTCATTCCAATAAGGTTTGGGTTTCCTTACACATCCACCTTTCCTCCCAGGAATTGACCTACTACAAACTTCAGGCACATTACACACATACTCACAAAATTCATCATACAATTCATCAATTTCTTTTTGGTAATGTACTTGAGACAGTTTGCCTATAAACTGGGTAAAAACCGTTTTACACCTACTGGAGGAGAAGAGATGAGGGGAGGCATTTCTAATAGTCTTTGGAGGATATTGTCTGTTTTGGTCACTGGCTAAACTTGTATCATTAACAAACCCCCCACCTGCATCAAATGTCAGAGCCAACAAAGAGTTATCAGGTGCTCTACACCTATCACCCAGCAGGTTAAGACACCTAGTGCTCCCCTTTCGCTCAAACACTTTTTGTGATAAATCTGCAGTCTGTAAAGCTTTTTTTTGGCCATTTGGGGGCAGCAGAAACAAGCTGCAAACAACACTGACATATTATCAACATATAAAATTAGGGTGAACTTTTTTAACAAGGACCTGCTTGTTCACACATCTGGTAGAAATCGACCAGTGTTAGCATTCAATTAGTCTTTTTTTCTGTCCATCTGACACATGATAGCTTAATATTCACTTCCTTTTAGCTCTGTTTTTGGTCTCAACCAACTCCTGAGAGAAATATCTTGCTCTTCAGCCTGATGCTCCAATATGTTCACCAACAAAAAAAGGGCCCGCTGCATCTGGAAACAACACTAATGAAAAAAGTGAGACAAAGTTAAAAGTCGTAAAACCAAAACACTGAGCTGAAAGATGCTAAATTTCTTTGTAATTGCTGAACTGCTGAGTCAGGTAATAATTGTCAGTAGGCTTTTCATCAGAAGTGAAACCTTACCATAACACATAGTAATTGAATCCATTGTACATATGGAATTATTCGTGAAATCAGTGTTAATGATATTAAACTTTACTAATGGATGTAGTCTGTTGAAGTGCAAATGCTCAGTCAGCTTAATACTGAAACTGTTTTATATTGGTCGAGAGGTTGAATGCATAAAGTAAGGTTTGCTCATAAAGAACAAAGTGCAGAGGCATTTACAGGAAACCAGAATCTTCTTGTCACCTGCGGAATGACTGAGCTGCAGGACTTCATTTTTATTTCTGCATAAACATAACTTAAAAGTGGCATCTTGTCTTTCAAGCCTGAGCTACTGAAGATGCTGTTAGTCACACAAACTAAAGTGTATTTGTTTTCATATGCTTAATCACCATGGGGAAATGACATTTACACAACAGGCCGGATCAAAAGTTCAAGAATGTCCAGTATGAGGAAGGCGTGGCTTAAAGCTGTTTATAACTAACACCCTCAGGCTCTTCAGTCACCCACACACCTGCTGGAACTCAAACAGGTAACAAAATTACATACATACTGTATGTGTTCTTTATTTTTCCAATAATTTTTTTTTTCTTTTTAATAGATTTTCAATACTATCAATACAAGCATGATTTAAAGATGTGTGCTGTTATGTTACTAAAGCTTAGTATCTTATTATTAATATTTCATCATCTTAATGGTGATTATGCTGCTGCTGAAACTTAAAAACTCAAGGCTTTTTGGTTTTACTTAACTGAACTGTGTTAATTTTTTCACCTTTTTAAGCATTTTAAAAATTTTCCTGGACTTTTTTAGGGGAGGTATGTTTTATATAAGTGGTCTTATTTATGAAATGTTTTGCTGTAAGTAACTTGTTTTGTGATGTGTTTTGTCATCAGCAATCTGCAAACATCCAAAGAGATTTAACCAGAAATTAATAAGTCAGCAGTTAAACTGTGCTCATAAATTGATACTACCTTTAGTAATGTTTATTAAATCATTTACAGATGCTTTATAAATTAAATTTGCAAATGAGAACAACTTTTGGGTATTCAGGTCATGAAAAACTGTGATGATGAGTCACTAATAGTCGCATGTCGTGTCATGGCATGTCATGACGGACCCAGATGTTGCAGTCACAATGTCTGGCCACCGTGTGAAATAGGCTTCAATTCTGATACACCTGCTGGGGGCTTGTTTGGCCCCTGTTTACTTCCTGTCAGCTACTGCAGTAACAAATATTTCAACAGGAAATATACTTGGACCTATTTAGAAAGGTTAGGTTGTCAAGTTTGTAATTTTCAATTGAAAAAAAATTAATTTTGACCTGATGATGGCGCTAGATGAAAACTCAGGGAATCAAAAATGTCATTATGTAAGGGATAATGTATAATGAGCCGGTGAATACTGGGAAAATGACTCCCGACAGGGGAATAGAACCCCGACGCCTGAAGGGAGTTATTTTCCCAGTCTTCACCGGCTCATTATACATTATCCCGCTTATTACACGGCTAATTATCAGTTAAATAAATAATGTTGTCTGCCTCCGCGAAGTGCATTAAAACCGACCGGATTTGACAACTTTTGGTAAAAGTTTTGTACTCACCCAGGCTTAGTGGACTGAACCGAGGCATAAAACTGGCGTAAAATGTCATTAAGCATGACTGCCGAGTGGGTATCCAAATCCGTGTTCTTTTGTTTTTGGCAGAGAAAGTCCGTCAGTATAGTAGTAGTAGTACAGTACAGTATAGTACAGTAGCCCATTTTGTTGTGTTTTTTGTGTTTATCTCATCTTTCTCCTCCTCTATCACTTGAAGCTCTTCAGGTGTCAGTTCCTTGTACCGTTTTTTGCTTGATTTTTTTCTTTCCTTCTCCATTTCTTTTTCTTCAGCGGCATCCCATTCCTCAAAATCCTTGTAGCTACTCTCCAAATAAGTTAAAAGAAATGTTAAAATCAGCCATTTCTGTTTGTTTTTTTCCCTCTGAAGTTGTTTGACAGCTGCAGTGTTGCAGGGCAGCGTCGCTAGCAACGCCAGGCTACATAGCAACTGTGTGAAGACCGTTGCTACTAGCAACGGTCTTCACACAGTAATATCAGACCGCTGAATGCCGCGACTGACCAATCAGAATACAGCATTTAATAGAGCAGTGTAATAAGATTAAATATTTCAGTCCGGACCAAAGTGTTGGACCATTTGATTGACCATCATTGCCAACCACAGAGCCATGCCATGAGTGAAGCAAATAAAACCTTAAAAAATGCCTTAGACCGTGGTCACAGAGAAAGCCTTTTGGCAGTTGGAGACGCCTTTTTCTAACTGTTTTTGATAAGAATTTTTGCGTTGCAATGCACCCCCAAGTTTCTGCGCTCTGGGCACCTGGCGTTTTTGCCGGAGTGCTCTGAACTCTGCTAGTTGAAAAAACTTGAGAAAAAACTAACTCAAAGTGAAAAAAAGCCCCATGTCACCTTTTTCCTATTGCCCAATTGGATTATTTTAGAGACGAGCCTTCCAGGGGGGTCACGACAACAAGTTTACAGTTGGTAAACAATGGAGGTGAAATAGTAGTAGTGGTTGCTGGATACCCAGAGCTATACGGCCTGACAATGGACAGCAAGTTGTCAAACTGCCCCTAGGTTATCCTTAAATATGCCTGAAAATGGTCATCATGGATGCGAAGCTCCTGGACCAACTGGTGGTACTCCCTGTGATCCACCCTCTTAATTAGGGTCTCATGTACCCTCACAGATCTCTGTTTCCCTGTGCCCAACAAACTATTTACTGACAGCCTCTCACCCTCAACCAGAGCTACAGGCAACAATAAAAAGGCGCAAGCGTTTTTTTTCACTAGTGGCATTAAATTTTTAAAAAAAAGGCAGTGCGGCGTGCCTCACATTTTACAACCTGCAAAAGGCTTTCTGTGTAATCTAGGCCATAGAAAGTATTAGAAAGAGGTAAAATGAAATGCTTAACATGAATTCTGTTGTTATCACATCTTCAGGTGTTTGAATACTGCTGGACTACCTTTTGAAGCAGATCCAAAGCAATCTCGAAGTCTAACCATATCATCATGGAGCATAACTCAGCAGAAACTGTGGTCCCTGACAGCAGAGATGAAATCTTTGTGGTTGGTGGTGGTGAGGTGTTTGAAGTGGGGAACAGGCACCTTAATGAAAATGTTTCACAGTATGTGCAACAAAACAAAGAGACCACCAACACACAGCTATTCTCGTTTTTGGCACTGCTGAATGCGTACATTCCTGATGCCTACCTCCTGATGTCTGAGTGTCAGAAGATCCTTGGACCACCCGATCCAATCCATGGAGGTCCACCCTTTGA